AAATAATTTAGCCTAATTGACTAGGTCATAATTAATTAATTAAAATTTTTAAAATTTAAACTATATTCACAGCACTATATTAAATGGGATGAAAGTGTAAAATTCACTTTGTATGAGTAAGGCAACTCATTTTTTTCTTCTTTTCCTAATGTGGGATTATCAAATAAAAGATAGCCAATAAAAATTTTCTTAATTGTTTAAAATTAAGAAAATCAAGAAAATTAGTATGAGATATTAAATTTGCGTTTGGTAAAATTTTCTAAATATGATTTGAGAATATGAGTTGTATTTTGAGTTTGTGAGTTTTGGAATTATGATTTGAGTATGGAAACTTTGTTTGATGAATGAGTTTTGAAAAGGGTTTTGAAAAAAGTTTTGAAATGAGTTTTTGAATTGAGTGATGTGACATAATTTTTTATACAAAAACTTGTAACTCATAACTAAATATACAACCCAAAATTCTATTCAAAACTCATAAAAAAATTAAAAAAAAAAATTAAAAGTATTTTTTATTTAAAATATAAAAATAACAAGTGCAAAAAAAAATTAACGTAACACAGAATAGGGTTATCACACATTTCATTCTTGTCTCAAATCTGGGATAATAAGTCTGAATTCCCAGACTAGTTTGGAAACACATCAATCCTTTGGATTGCCACCTCTGTTGCCCATATAACTTTATTTATTTATCATTATCATTTTAAAATTAATTGGTGAAGAATTCATTTTAATGAACATATATGACATAAGATTCAAGAATGGATTTATTTTGATTATAATAATAAAAATATGGAAATGAAACAAATTACTGTTTTAAAAGACTCTTTTTTCCTCTCCATTTTGAGTCTGGTTCTTCTTTAATTTCTACTTTCTTTATATCTCACACACTATTATCAATCGTTTGTTAGATAATGTCTCAATGGGACCACATAATATGGTCCCTATTCCTTCCCAAGTGGAAAAAAAAAATAAGAACACTATCATTTTTCTTTCTAAATCCTCTCAAGGAGAAACATAAGGCACCAAAGGGGAAAGGATTAGAAGGCAATAACATAATCAATAACAAAGAGTTCATTGATAAGAACAAAGAGGTTTAACCGTTCATCAATGGATTCAGGTATGTCATTTTGTCTTGATTTCTTGATAATACACATGGTAAATGATCCAAAGTGTAAGGTTTATGTTCTGAAATTTATGTTGACAATAACTAAATACACAATCCAAAATTCTATTCAAAACTCATAAAAAAATTTAAAAAAAAAATTTAAAAAATTTTTTATTTAAAATATAAAAATAACAAGTGCAAAAAAAAAAAAAAAAATATAAAAATAACAGGTGCCAAAAAAAAAAAAAACATGAACACTGTTCTGGTCAACCGGCCGGACGACCAGCCAGACGTCCGGGGGAACATTTGGGTACACAAATTTTCAAACGTGAGTGTGGAAATGTATTTTAAAAACTGTAAACAAACGATGCACTCAAACTAAAGGTAGAATCATGATTCAAAAGCTGTACTAAACACAGCCTGAAACTCTCACAAGGCTCTTACTTAATGGGATGGGAGTATAAGATTTACTTTATATGAGTAAAGCAACTCATTTTTTTCATTCTTTTCCTGATGTGAGATTATCAAATAAAAACTAGCCAATAGAGATTTTTTTAATTGTTTAAAATTAAAAAAATTAATATGAGATATTAAATTCTCACAAGACTACTCACTAAAAATCTCATTTTCCTTATACAATATATAGATTGTTCACGTGCTGCAATAAGTAAAAGTTTATTTGTGACGCAACTTATTTGCCCATGCAATATTTGGAGCACATGGCCAAACATGACAACATAATATCTATATTGCACAAGATCCAATAAGGATCAACTGCATGTACTCAAAATTGCACAAAATTTGGTCGGTTGATGTGAAACCGTCGTTCTGAACAATATCTATTTGCTTTGTCATGGATAAGTCGATTTCAGGTGAATTTTATTGTTTAGACCATTAATATTGAGATTTTTTTCCTTTTAAAATGTTTTACAACTTCAATTGCTCTCGTTATAAAGTTAGAATTGAATTCTGTCGACTCTACCTTCATTATAGCAGCATAAAATCAGTAGTTTCTATATTTAGTTTTGATATTTTTATTTTTAGTAATTTTGTTTGTGTTCCTTTCTTTATATCTAGCTAGTTAAGCGACTGGCAATTTCGATTGTTTTTTATTATTATTGTGGGTGTTATTGTCTGACCACACTGTCAAACTGGTACCCAGCTGGAGAGCACCGGTAGAATAGATCTCGCCTGAACAACCTGTCACAGAAAGATAAGATTCCAGCGGTGGTTTGTCCACCCGGAGACACTCCAATGATCAAGTTAGTACTCAGTTATCTCTCGAAGATAGTAAACAGTGCTTAACTCATTAAACCAGAATACAAAAAACGTACCTTAAACCCACGAGGGTGCCTTACTTTTATAGCCAGCACTAACCTGATCGCTGTAGAAGCCTAGCTTCTCTTGGACTCTAGCTCAATGCTCATCTTGAACTCTCAGATAGATAAAAATAAACTCCCCTAAGAGGTTCATCTTTATCCAGACTGAGGTCCTCCCCCATTCTAGGACTCTTGTCCCTTATCCGTTCATCTCGGATTCTGGCATCTCCATAGATAATCTCGGCCTAGCCGAGATAACCTCGGCACCATGACCAAGACACGTGGCACCTCGGCTGGCACTTCGGTGCCACCTTGGCCATGTGTCGTCATTCATAAAAATATGCCCCCACAACTACCCCTAGGTTCTATCACCTCGGCATCCTGAGGTGATAGAACCTACATCATTTGTCCACATGGCACGTCGGCTAAGACTTGCTCTATCCTTCATTACCGAGGTCATCACACGTCGGCTCTATATGACCAAGACTACAGTCTGCTTTATCAATGCCTAAGAACCAAGAACCAAGTTTTTCAAGTTCTTTAACCAAGATTGTCCTTCTAGCCGAGGTTCTTGCTTTATTAAATCAAGAACTCCAAGAGTTCTATCTACGCATGAGCTGTCACGCATGGTTTCTCAATCGTTTTCGCCACGCGTCTTTTTCTCATTGATCCGTACCTGATACGCGCCATCAAGTTGAGTCACTTCTGCGTGTGCTGCCTGACAAGCACATCGTCCAAGGCACATTCATTGTGATTTTGCCACCTTTTCGTGTTTTAACAAAAACACTCTCTCTTTCCGTCTCTTCACTTTTGTCTTCCTCGTTTTCCTTCTGAGTTTAAGCTTTCTCTCTCTCCAAACAAGAAACCACCATTGTTTTCTCAAAGCCTTCTGCAACTGCTTCCGTTCTTCGCCTCTGGTGAGGCATTCACCGTTCTGCTCTACGCACCACCATCATCTGACTTCGGCGTACCTCACACCGGTGTTATTCTCTTTGGTAAGTCACTGTTTCCCCTCTTTTCAGTTTTTGATTTACTTCAAACTTTGTTTATGCTTGTATGCTGCCATTGTGAATCCATTCATGTTCTTGAATCTTCATCTGTGTTTTAAATTTCATTATGTTTGCTTGAGATTTTACCTCTGTCTAATCTGTTTCTGGGTATATGCATACACATACTACTCACACACTGGTTATTTTGCCACTGTACTTGGCTTTTAATCTGTGTTCTTGAATTTCTGTTACTTTCTTGAGTCTAAATCATGTTCTTTTTCCTGTTTTCTTGTTGCATTTTCCAGATTCTTGACTTCAATTCTTGTTTCTGTAGACCTAGGCTTGGGATTTGTTTTAGAACTTTGTTCCTTAGGAAAACCGAACCAAAAATCCCCTTAGATCCTCAGAAACCTTTACTCCAGTACTCTCTAGTATTCAGCTGAGGTCTTTTAAACCCATATAAACCACTTTCTTCTGAAATCCTGCACCTTCCCCCTTTAGCCGACTTCATGAGTATGTTCAGGTGGAGGGTAGACACCCCGGGCAAACTAGATTACTTTAGGACAGAGTTCTCTATCCTAGCCGATGTTCACCTTAGGCTGGCAGGGGAGGAGGACTCCATCATGCTTGATGGGGACTCTATGCCTTTCTCCGTAGTGGCCTTCATAGAGTGTGGACTTACGTTCCCTCTCAACATCCTTTTATGCCAAGTCCTTCACTATTACAAACTTAACCTATGTAGTGTGGACTTAGGTTCCCTCTCAACTCTTATAGAGTTATTAATGGTATAATTGCCCTCACTAGCCGAGAAAATGCTAGGATTACACTAGCCGACATCCAGTACTGTTACACCATGTGTGGCCTGAAATCCGAAAAAAGCTACATCTATTACCTCAAACCGAGATCCACTGAGTACAAACTCATTGTCGACCTCCCAGACTCCAACAAAGGTGCTGGAGATAATTATTTCATCGTCTCGGGCAACTAGGAGTTCCCACCTGAAGATGACCTCCACCTCTACCCTTTGAGCCGAACAGTCTTTAAAGAGGGTAATGGTAAGAACCAGGTGGCACTTTTATATGCTTTTAAGTCTTTATTACTTTATTCCTCTGTATGTTCTTATGTCTATTTTTTACTTGCAGTTCTTCCTCAGCCACCGAAAGACTTCCGCAAAACCTTCTACCCCAGCAAGGATTTTAAGAAGTTGCTGGGCTTGCCAGTTGATCAGCGCAAGGCCCCTCTGCTGCTCAACTACATCCCAACCTACAAACTGCTCTGCCCGACGTCCCTGAGAAAAGAAAGTCTTCACCTTCAGTAATAATTCCTCCTAACACTTCATCACCTCATCCTGACCAAGCCTTAACCTCCGATCCAACGGAGCAACCATCAACATCTGCTCCCTAATTGATCCCTCCTGCCCAGCGCCAACGTCGTCGCCAAGTTCCAATCTCTGCCCCTGCCGGCAGAACTCATAGCAGAAAATGCCAAAGTGCTGAGGCATCGGCTTACGATCTAGCCAACCCACTCACTGCACTTCCAGCAATCCACTTCGACACAAAAGTCACAGTGGTCGCTATTGCCGACGAGATGAGACGTAACAAGGCTGTCGTCGAAGACCTCCTAGCCGACATCCCTGGTGTTGTCACAGTCCAGTCCTCTCCATCACGATCCCAACCCAAACCAAAGCAAAAAATGGTGAAGAGGGCCAAGGAAAAAGCCTCTTTCACCCAAGTTGAGTATAAAGATACAGTTTCAATCTCAAAGGTTGCCGAGATTGAGAAAACAGGCTTTGCTGCCAAAAAGAGGCATGCTTAGGCTAAGCCCTCCGAAACCGCTCAGTCAAAGAAGCCGAGGTAGGATTCTACAGCCACCTCGGGTTCTCTTAAACCGGACAACCCTTAGGCCCCAGTTATCACAATTGAGGACAAGCCAGCCAGAGTGGGTGACAGTGCTATCGACAACATCGAAGTCGTTGTCGCCCTCTCCACTGCACTACTCTTTCCAACTGACCTCAACCATATGGCCGAGGTCAGCGAATATGAGAATTTCGCTCTGATGATGCAGCACTCCGTATTGGTAAATTTTCAACACTTAACACTCTCTACTTTATGCTTTTAAGTTCTTCATAGCACAAAAAAGTTTACTAACTTTGTTCATTCCGTTTTCTCTAGACAATCCAGCACGCCTACACCTTCGCAATGAAGGCTGAGGAGTTAAAGAAGGAATTGGTCCATAAGACCAAGGAAGCTGCTGGCTTGCTTAAATCTTTAAACAACGCCGAGGACAAGATGAAAGTCCTGCTAGATCAGGCCAAGGCAGCTAAACAAGCCCAAGATCAAGCTGAGGAAAAGACAGGTGCTGCCGAGGCTGTTGCTGAGGTTCTCAAGGCTGAAATAAAAGAGGCTGAAGCAAAAACTGCCAAAGCCCAAGCAAAGCTCCGAAGGGCCTTGGCCACAAAAGAGGCCGAAATCAAAGCGGCGGACGAAAAGGCTTATGCCGAGGGGGCAGCCGACGTCTGTGAGGAGTACAAAAAACAAGTCAGATAGGCATACAACAAGGGTTACACCCTTGGTTGGAAGGCTGCTCTGAAGGAGTTGGCTATCCCCGAGGATTCTCCTCTTTATGATGAAGGCCAACTTGCAGTGCCATTCCCTCATGCTTCAAGCCAGTCTGAGGCTAAGGTTGGGGGGAAAGAAGGAGAAGAAGAAGATGAAGAAGAAGAAAAAGACGAAGAAGCCGAGGTGGCAGTCAATGCTGAGGGTTCTACTGGGGCTAAGTCCCCCACTCTGAATGAGCAAGTTCTAGACTTGACTCAGGATGAAGATGACGAGGTCTTAAAAAGTGCCTCTCCTAAGAAGACTATATCCGAGGTGCCAATCATCGAGAAGAGCCTCTATCAAACTTTGTAAGAAATTGACGCCAAGCTTGAGGCTGAGAGGGCTGTCGAGAAGATTTCACAGTTCTCTTCTGAGGCCGAGACATATCTTGCCACCGACGCCGAGTAGTCTAGCTAGAAGCTTTTACTTCTGTACTTTGTACTTTTCATTTTTTTGAATGATGCTAGCTTTTGTTTGGCCGATGTGCCCCCCCTTTTTTTTTGTACTCCGAACAAGTTGTCTTTGTGGATGAAAAAGTAATCTCCTATGCCAGGCCGAAGTGCCTTTTTGTATCTGAACAAGTTTCTTTTCTGAATGCAAGTCTTATATTTTCTTCCAAGTGTTGAATGTATGCCTTCTTTTCTTCTATGCATGTTTATCATTCTATACTTAGAATAATTCTGTATGTCTTCAAAGTATACCTTATCTATATAACCCCTTCAGAGGACAATACCTCAGACACAACCTCTTGACTGTTTGTCTCAGCTTGGCTTAACATTTGAAAACATTGTAAAAATATTTTCACCAGTGTTGTTTTCAACTTGCCACTTTACTCTTACTTAACAAGACTTCTTTCTTCTATACTCCCCAAGTTTGGGCAATCTGGTCATCTCGACAAGTAGGTATGTACTTCTTGCAGTATTACCTCGGCTTAACTTCAATTTGTAAATTTCTCTGGAAATTTCAACAAGTGTTAAGCCAACTCTAGCTTGTAAATTTTTCTATAAAATTCCAACTCTTAAGCACTTTAAACTTTATTCATCATTCTCTAGCTCTCTGCCCCCTAATGTGAACTTAAGTTTCACTTATGTTCACATTAAACATGTGCCTATGATCTTGTTGCCGAAGTTAGATTCAAACAAAGATTAGCCGAGGTTCTCAACCTTGGTTTCTCTGTTAACCTTACTGAAATGCAACTAGTTCCAATCTGAATTTGATTCTGCTGACATGGCAAGTCTTAGTTTAACTCCATTATATGCAAGTATAATTTTAACTCTGCCATATAATGAGTCTAAGTTATTCGTCATGTTTCACTTAGAAACATCGCCAACTTAGTTCAACTCTATTATATGCAAGTGTAATTCAACTCTGCCATATAATAAGTTTAAGTTATTCGTCATGTTTCACTTAGAAACATCACCAACTTAGTTCAACTCTATTATATTCAAGTGCAATTCAACTCTGCCATATAATAAGCCTAAGTTATTCATCATGTTTCACTTAGAAACATCGCCAAAGGACTGGTTAGTCGTATTACACAAGTTTGAAATTAAAAATCAAGCTAAAACTTTATTATTACTTCAGCTAATAACATAAATTTTAAAAAACAAAAATCTAATGATAGAAAAACTTCAAGTTGCAAGTGTTTTAGGGTCTTGGCAACTCTTTTCCTTCATTGTTCTCAAGCTGATATGCACCATTACCGGCAACCGAGATAATTTTATAAGGTCCCTCCCAATTTGGGCCAAGCTTGCACTCTCTGGGATCCTTCTTGTTGCCGACCACTTTCCTCAGCACAAGATCCCCAATTTTGAATTCTCTTGGGTTAACCTTCTTGTTGTAAGCCCTAGCAAGCAGTGGCTGGCATGCCCCCAGCCGAATTGCTGTATTCTCCCTTCTTTCTTCCAACAAGTCTAGATCTCTGGCCAGAAATGCCTCATTAGTCCCATTCTCTACTCCCTGGGTTCTGATCCCAAGAATGTCGACTTCTAGTAGGATAACTGCTTCGGTGCGATAAGCCATGGCAAATGGGGATTCCCCAATTGATCTTCTTGGCGTAATCCGATATGCCCAGAGTACATTGGGCAACTCATCCACCCACTTTTCCTTTGCTGCTTCCAGTCTCTTCTTGATCCCATCTAGGATTGTTTTATTGGATGCTTCTACTTGACCATTACTTTGAGGGAAGCTTGGAGTAGAGTAATAATTCTTGATTTTGTATTTTGCACATAAGTTCTTGATTAGCTTGCTGTCAAACTGCGTACCATTGTCTGCTATTATTGCCGTTGGGGTCCCAAACCTGGTAATGATGTTCTTCCATACAAAGTTCTTCACATCAACATCTCGAATCTTTGCAAGAGGTTCTACTTCTACCCACTTGGTGAAGTAGTCTGTTGCTACTAGCAGGAATTTTCTCTGTCCAGTTGCTTGGGGTAATTACCCAACTAGATCCATGCCCCATTAGGCAAATGGCCAAGGGTTGGACACTAAATTCAAATCTGCTGCTGGTTGATGTATCAAAGGTGCGAACCTTTGACACTTCTCGCACTTTCTGACATAGGCTTCAGCATCTTTCTGCATGTAGGGCCATCTACCCCTAAGTAATGGCCCTATGAGCAAGTGACCTGCCCCCAGCGTGGCATCCACATACTCCTTCGTGTATTTCATACAAAAAGTCTTCAACTTGTGAAGGATGTACACATCTCAAAAGGGGACCAGTAAAAGACCTTTTGTAAAAATGTCATTTGGTTGTCAGACTAAACCTCGCCAACTTCAATCTGGTCGTGTGCCTCTTTTCTGTCCTCTGGTAGCTTCTCATCTCTAAGGAACGCTACTATTGCATCCATCCAACTTGGTCCCATCTCTGCATACATTGCTTCATACTCTGTGATTAGTGGTTCCACACTTGGGCTTGACAAATAGTCAACCATTACTGTCATTGCCTCCCTTGATTTCATGGCACTAGCTAGGTTAGCCAAGGCATCGACATGGCTGTTGTCATCTCGGCTAACCTGCTGTAGTCAGTAGTCTTAAAATAAAGCCAGTAGTTTGACAACCTCCTTAATGTAGGCTATTATTCTTTCATCTCAGGCTGCATACTCACCTGTTGCTTGGTTCACAATAAGTTGGGAGTCACAAAAGACCACAACCTCGTTGGCTTCCATTGCTGCTGCCAGCTTCAATCCTGCGATTAATGCTTTATACTCTGCCTCATTGTTGGAGGCTTTGAACGCCAAACAAATTGATTGCTCTAACATTCATCCATCTAGAGATACTAGTACTACTCCTGCCCCCGCTTCTTGTCAGTTTGAACTCCCATCAACAAATAGGCGGAAGGAGTCGTCGATGTAAATATCGCAGGGCTTAAGTGTCTCTCATTTTTTCTGCTCTGCTGTGGGGTTTTTCATTCCCAGCTAGGTCTCTTCTTGTTCTCCTAGACATCTTAAGTCGCGGCTCATTGGAGCCCGAAGTGGGATGGCACCAGGTGTGAACTCAGTCACGAAGTCGGCCAGAACCTGGCCTTTGATTGCTATTCTGGGCCTAAATTCCAAGTCGTATTGACCCAATACTACTGCTCATCTGGCTACCCTGCCTGTCAGATCTCCTTGTTGTAGTAGAGACTTTAAGGGATGCTCAGTCAATACCACAATCTTGTGGGCTTGGAAGTAATGATTTAACTTCTTAGAAGCCATCACTAAAGCTAGTGTCAATTTCTCCAAGGGCAAGTACCTGGTCTTTACGCCTGCTAGGGTTTTACTCACATAGTAAACTGCCCTCTGTTCCCTCTTCTCTTCTCTAATTTCCACTGCACTCACCGCATGCTCCGAAATTGCCAAGTATAAGAAGAGTTCCTTTCCTGGTACAGGATTTGAGAGAACTGGAGCTGTGGTCAGGTATTTTTTCAAGTCAACCAAGGCGACTTCGCTCTCTTCTGTCCATAAAAAATTTGTGGTCTTCTTCACTAAATTCAAAAATAGTTTGCATTTGTCAGAACTTCTGCTTATGAACCTATTTAAGGCTGCAGCCCTTCCAGTCAACATCGGCACTTGTTTGCCAATGTTGGGCTTTTCAAGTCTAGGATGGCCTTGATTTGATCTGGGCTTGCCTTAATGCCCCTTCTGGTAACCAAGTATCCTAAGAACTTATCAGACCCAACTCCAAATGCGCATTTCGAAGTATTGAGTCAGAGCCTATATGTTCTAAGGATGTTGAAAACTGCCTTTAAGTTGGCCAGATGATCCTCAGGTTCTTTGGTCTTCACGACCATGTCATCAATGTATACTTCCATTGTTTTGCCAATTAGATATCTGAACATCTTGGTCACCAACCTCTAGTAGTTTGCTCCTGCATTTTTCAACCCGAAGGGCATTACCTTATAGCAATACAGCCCTTTTGGGGTGATAAATGCAGTTTTCTCCTCATCAGGAGCGTAAATTGCTATCTGATGGTACCCTCTGTATGCGTCCAGGAAGCTCATCCTTCCATGCCCTGAAGTGGCATCCACCAATTGATCGATTTTGGGGAGTGGGAAACTGTCCATGGGACAAGCCTTATTTAGGCTAGTGAAGTCCACGCAGACCCTCCACTTCTCATTTTTTTTCTTCACAACTACTGTGTTTGATAACTAGGTTGGGTAGTTTACCTCTCGAATGGCTCTGGCCTCCAATAGTTTTCCCACATTCTCTTATACTGCCTCAACATGCATCAATGTTGGTCTCCTTGCTCGTTGGATGACAGGTTTAGCCGACCTGCCCACATTCAGTCTATGGTAAGTGACCTCGGGGTTAATGCTAGACATCTTGTATGGCGTCCAGGCAAACACCTCAATGTTTGCTCATATGAAGGCTTCTAACTCCCTTTCTTCCTCCTCGGCCAATCCTAAGCCGAGAAGGAAGAAACACTCATCATCCCCTTGTTGGACTAGAATTTTCTTCAGGGCTTTCTTACTTTTTTCGGCTGGTTCTTTGCTGATGTTATCCAGGACCTCTATGTCCTCGTCTTCAATCTCGACTGTGTCTATTCTTTGTACGTTGCAGGTGGATTTCATTGTTTCCATAGAGTAATTCTTTGCATGTACCTGATCTCTTCTGACCTCCTCAATTTTATGCTCTATTGGGAACCGCAATAGCTGGTGTAGCGTTGAGGAAACAACCCTTATTGCGTGCAACCATGGCCTTCCCAACATAACATTGTAAGAGAAAGGGGTGTCAATGACGGTAAACTCTGTGCTCACCTTCCTAGTGTCTGCCTGCACCTCTAAATTTATTGCCCCCAAGGGCCATGTCGGCAACATTCCATTGAACTTGACCATT